CGATTTTGCTAATACTGTGATCAGAATGAACGCTGGAACTGGCCAACCTAGTACCAGATCCTTGATGGCCAAGGAGAAAATTGATCTCCGTGAGAATGTGTAAATGACCGTAGATATCGCGGAGCGAAAGGTGTACAAAGAAACCCTTTTTTAATACATTAGTGAAGCTCTTCGAGTCTCTGTGAAAAAAAAAGATCGAGGCCGCGCGAAACAGGATGGCATAGAAGCTGTAGTAACTTATTACGGACTACTGCACAATCCCACGAATTGGAAAAAAGGTTTTCTTTACAATTCTTTACCTTTCGGGATGTTTACGGTCATTTTCACATTTCCACACTGATCAAAGTTTACCTCATGGAGACAAAAAAGGTTGGAAAACATACAGCTTGCGACGCTTTCTTTGCTTCGCTTCTTTCGCATGACAACAGCAAAGATCGAAGCCGCGCGAAAAAACATGCCCCTCGAGGGACCTGGTACAGGGATTGTCTAATCCTAACATTTATTGGAATCATTAACAAAGTCGCGTATTGATAAACTGCACCGAATTTATATTGTATGACTCTGGCTTACAGCCGCTAAGCTGGCTGAGGACAAAGAGAGCCATCACTCTCCCGGATTGAACAATTTGGGAACAAGACCTCACTATGAGATTTTCCAAGACCGACCTCTTTCTCTCCTATTAAGAAGTTATTAAAAAGTTGAGCCATACAAAGCAGGCGAGGGGTGCGTAAGCCAGGTAATCTGCGTTGTATTACATCTAAGTTATCTCATTCCCTTCTTTAATTTTTACTTTCGTCACGACAACCTGTGAGCCACAGTTATTCGAATGTCTTAAAAAGCTTCCGGCATCATTCAATAACTATCTAACTATTTGGCGCATTCGGAAAAAAAAAAAACCTAAACATTATGGGATTTTATTGAGAAGATTCTGCATGATTTCGTGTCATGTATATTTTTTCTTCAACAGTGAAAGGCCTCCTTTACTTAAAGTCTAACTGGAGAAAGTTCTCCTCTTGCCCGGTGCAATGTTTCCGGAAGATGTATGGCAGACGTCGCGATGGTCACAGGAACGGACGGAGTGATTTGTCCCTGATGCAACCACTGACAGAGGAACCATTAGTTTTCGATGAATAAAAAACTTAATTGTTTTGGCTTCACTATTGTATTTTGGTGCGGCAAAGAGAGTACACAAGGATCTCTCATTTTGTTGCTTAGCTGTACACCCAGCCTAAGTCTGCTGCTTCGCATAGCCACTACGCTGACAAAAAAAGTTATCTATTTCGCTTCAATTGCATCTGTTGTTCGTAAAATGTTTTCGAAGTGTAGGTAACAAGGAGAAAATAGTTGTATAACAGGCCTAAAGAAATATTTTGCAATGCAAAATAGTGCATGAACAGTGTTATGCTTTGCTTCTTTTCTCCGTGTATTTAATTATTTCTTTTTTTATTAATAAATCTATCTCAGAAACGTTAAGCAGGAATTTAAGATGTCGCTCTATAATTAGCGGACCTTCGTCTTACATACCCCACCCATGAGGCCGGAAGCTAAATATATTTAAACATCTGAAAGGCTTTATTTACTAATCATTAATATTTTTACCTATAGTACATTCCAATTGGCCACATTTACTCCAACACTTAATTGACCCGTCTTTTCTTGGGAAAATTGGTTTACAACACTGATTCACCCTTGGTGCAAAACCACAAAGCCTGGTCTACATTGTAGAAACGGATCGAGACGATAACTTCTCCCCAGTTTGCAATGATAAAGAAAGCATCAGTATAGATGCGTCAATAGTTATTTTATTATTCCCAATTCCTTTTAAGTAAATGCCCTATCTTGAACAATTGTGACAACAATAGCGGTAGATTAATATTTAGAATGCCATACGATTTACTAATAGGATACGAGCTTGATCAAAATGTGATCTGGTGAAATTAAGTGAAAGCAAGTAGTTTTTGGTAAATTGAAAAGGAAGAAGGAAAATAAAAAAGTTTGCATGCGCGGAGTTTCAATGTACTCATGTCGCGTGAAAAAATGTTAGCCCGAGGAAACACGGGGAGAAATAGGTTGGATTCTTTACGTTTAGGATCATCAAGAGAGGATAAATTTTCTTTTTTTTTTTGGGGGACACATTACTTTCAGGGGCACGGGGGATAAGGGGGGAGGGAGAAGGGGGTCTTTTCTGTATAAAAGTGACTGCCAATGAGGGGGGATCATTTAAAAATGTTTCAGAGCCATATGGGGAGATCAGGTAAATGCTATTGAGACACAGTCAAAACTCATGATTTAACATTAAACGGATCAAAATGTCTCTACACCGAGAAGTTTTAACAACCAATTTGTTCATCAACATAATAAATATAAACCTTGGTCTTCAGGAATTAAAAGACTCTGAATTCCTTACAGAGCATGGCGCTCCATTTATAATTACAAGTCATTCTATAGTCTATCTTTTCATTTATGGGCGTGGAAAAAATCGGATCGGGCCAACAAAAACGATCGAGTCTTTTGAAGGCTTTCACGTCAGTTATCGTTGACCTTTTTCATTCAGTGACAGAAACTGTCCTCTGTTAAATATCTGTCTGATGTAATGCCATCCGTTAGTTTGCCAAAGACCTTTTGAGAGCGGTTTCATTCCGCAAAAATCTCTCTCTACTAGAGAGTCAGGTTTGTCACTTAGAATTCTGCAATTGGAATTCTCCCGTCGTGTCGGATAATTTCAACTTATTATTATTATTATTCTTGTGGCTATCAAAAGCTTCATCTTTCTACGGGAACAGGGTTAAAACTGAGATAGTGAGTATAAATTATAGATGTTGCTCCTGGTTTATGGATAAAAGCGAACCAAAAATTGTGAATTAACATAGCAAGCGAATTCGACATGTTAGTAGCGAACTCTAACGTAACGCTGGAACTCGACAAGTAGCGCCGGAAACGGGCGAAACCAGATCAGGGTTCTCTCGCGAGTGATAATGTTTAATCTGAAACCACTTTACATCTGTGTTGTGGTCAAAAATCGACAAACTCCTCATAAGCTTTCGCTGGTGTGTGAATAGTTCCGCAATGCACTACTACTCGCTAGTAGCTGTGCATATGATCAAAGAAATATTAGCTCTTAATAAGCCAGCATATGTAGGATTGTGTATTCTTGATCTTTATAAGACACTGATGTATGATTTTCGGTATAATTATATTAAACCAACTGTCAGTGTCTGTCAATATTATTGACAGACACTGACAGTTGAACTTATGAAATTGAAGCTGAAGATGTGTATCAAGACTTTTGAGAAATAAAGATAAATTTGATAATAGTGACTATCCAGAAAACACTTCATGTTTGACGAGACAAACAAAAGGACTGAAGGAAAATACAAAGATAAAGCTGCATTTATCCTTATAACTGAATTCGTTGGTATAAGAAGTAACATGTATTCTTATATTAACCCTTTAACTTCCAGATTAAATTTGTAATTCTCCCATCTGTCAACCAAGCAATTATTATAATGTTAGTCCAGAGAATTTAGTATTGGATCAAATTATTATCGGCAAATTGACATTTTTCTTTATTCTCATCGCTTACCTGGTTGACATTGTATTGATATTGTAATGAGAAATTCTTTCCTGGTCACTCGTGGGAGTTAAAGGGTTAAAGATGATGATAAAGGTGATAAAAAAGCAAAAGGAAAAAAGAAAAATGTTATCAAAATCATGAACATCAAACATGAAGACTATAAAGATACATTATTTAATAACAAACAAATGCATCATACAATGAAAACTATCCGAAGCAAAAGTTATCAACTAGGAAGCTATGAGCTTCACAAAGTGTCATTATCTTGCCTCGACGACAAAAGATACAATTGGAAGGTATAAATTCTTATGCTTGTGGTCATCACAGAATATGAAAAGATGTGACGTTACGACACAGCTGTGGCAGTCTAGTTAATGAGTCCAAGTTCCTGGTTAAGGTTTCCCCCTCAAAAGGGCCGTACAAGTAGTTTCGGACAATAAAATGCCCTGAAAAAACAGCAGCCACCAACAGTGGAGCACATGCAGCTATGACTAGTTAAGCTCTCTTTGTCGATAAATTTATTTATCAATTGAGCGATGGAACCGCAAAAAAGAGTGAAAAGGAAAAAATCAATTGATTAAGCTCTCAATTACTCATCTAATTTCTGATTGTTATTATTTATAAACTACATGTAAAGTCTAAGTTTTTTCTTGTCTTGAAATCTGGCTAATGAATTTTATGTTCTCTTGTTTAATCTTTTGGTTTTCTCAGTTCAAACATTAAGGATGAGTCAAGTCCATCAATCTTTTAATCTCAGCTGTTAAATCATATTGGCTTTTGGTGCAAGTCAATGGCGGTAAACACGACGAGGAAAGGTTAAAAAGACGTTATACACTGTAACGCCAAAGCAGCCATTACTCTGCAATATGGTCTTCCTCCCCCAAGTTTGGTTCCAGGACCTCATAATCTGGGTCTCTTTTGCGTCGACAGCCATGTATCAAATGGAGAAGACCCTTTCCTGAAAGGAAAAGAAACGTCACATAGCGGATTAACTTTCCACACCGAAAAGTTACAGAAAAGCAAACTAAATAGTAGTGGACAGTAGTACTTTGTAGCAGTAATTTGAAGTAGTAGTACTAAAATTATTGTATCAGGAAGTGTTCTTGGTTTCCAGCGATGGAAAAATGTGTAATCCTTCAGTGAAGGTCGGAAGAGATAACGGATAACAATAATCAAAGTTTCCTAGCATGTTCATACATTTGGCTCACTGCTAACCAAGTTTAACAAACTTTGACCAGGTTTTTGTGACTTAATGTGTCAAACGGACCAATTTGTCTCCCAAAGACCGAATCAACTATTTCACTTAAGTATAGTGCAAGTAGGTATTAATGCAATACAGAGATATGCACTTGTCGGTGTAAAGAGTTCATTTAGGAAAAAAGTAATTAAACAACTCCGACCAAACCCCTAAAGTCTTCTGCAATGCCGTTACAATATATTGATCGAAAAAAAAGTTCTGATCAGAGGACTTACCAACTGCCACAACCAACACGGCACAGTTGAGAATCAAAAACATCACATTTACAAATAACGAATTGTTATCTCCATGCCCCTCGTTCAAGGTGGGCCGTGAATAAACTGCACCAAGACAGACATTAAAGAATATCACCCACAGCACAAATGTTTGTAGTCGATCTTCAAACTTGTCTTTCATCGGTCGAAAGATGGTGTATACAATTCCTGATGCACTTGCTGCGATCACAGCAAAGCCAATTTGAGAATCGCTTTCGGAGTCGAACAGAAGAATGACTGAAATAAAGATCAGCTTCCGGTACATCTCAACTATCTCCCAGAACCAATACTTGTCCTTATAGTTCTCATAAAACACTTTCAAGCCAAAGTTAAACTGTTTGTGTTTTTGCGGGTATTTTCGACATTCCCAAAGGAGTGCCAACAGCAGAATTGGGAAGGCGATGGGATACAGTGCAAACCCAGCAGCGATGTGCCAAAAGTCAGTGTGTTGAGAGGTAGAACAGCGCATGGAATAGTCGGCCTTCAGTAGAGAAATACAATCGCTGTCATCATTTAAGAAACACTTCTTGACACACGCTCCTGGCAGGGGCAGAATGTTTATAATCTTCTTACTTGTTATTGGATAAGACAACAGGAGAAATAAAAAGATGTTTCGATAGCAAGACTTCTTCAGCCTTGAGATTTTTTCCCGTTTGGATTCCCCCGTTGAGCTCGCCGAAGCACTCTCTAGCGTGGAATTCTCAATTCCATATAAGACATTTTCTGCTGTGGTATCCTCCATTCTTTCTAAGGTGTTTCCTGCTATAAAATTGGAATTGTTTTCTTCAGTGGAATTCTCCATCCTGTTAAGGAGAAGCATTTTAAAGAAGAGGTAAAGCAGTATTAAAGAGACAGCAAAGACGTTTATAGTAACAGCGATGACAAATTGAATAAATGGGTCCAAGCGGAGCACAGGGTGAATGCAACTCAGAGGTGCGAACTGTAAAATATTTCCTTCAACAAATTTCAAGCATTTCGCCGCAGATAAAATAACTATTGGCCACTGTACATGCAGCAAAGCTGAGAAAATACCAGCAAGAACTTGATAGAATCCAATAATGATCTTAATGCAGGACATTACGACATCTGCAACAAAACGATTGTCTCCTGTTCGTCTTGAGTCGCACTTGAAAACAATCACAAATAGCAGGACAAAGAACAAAAGTATCAGACCACAAGAAATGACTGTGACCACCAACTTGGGACATTTTAAACATCTGTTGAATCTAAGATAATGGTACGAGGAACATGCTGCACAGAGGGTACCCTGGTAGCCAGTGCTACACGTTGAGTTTATTCCGCCCTTACATGAGTCTGGATAAGGGCACTTCAGAGGCTTTGACAACAGTCCCTCAAAAGTGGAGAAGGTTTTATTATACTCAGCTGTGGTAATTTGGATGTTTTGGACGAAACTTCTGTAAGATTCCATTTTTTCGGAACTGTTCCATTTCCAAAAGTAATTTGGTGCTAATATTGCCGAATCATTCTCACAGTTCATTCCTTGATATGGACACGATTTGCATGGGCCAAAACGATCCAAGCGGTAGAATTTATGGAGGCATCGACATGCACGGTAACCAGCCATTTCATTACTGTTAGTACCTGTCTACAAGCACAGAAATGTTAAGTAAAAACATAGTGATCAGAATTTTCCCACATGAAAACCCTTTACTTTCTTGAGAGATCTTTCAGAGACCAGTTGTTCAAAGGACGGATAACACCATCAAACGGATAAATCGCTATTCAATGGATAAGTGTTAACAGAACGTACTGCACTATTCACCGAATCGAGATTTGTTCAGTTAAGAGCGCTATCCAGTCTTTGAACAACCAGAGCCAGATGGATAAACTTTCTGCTAAAGTACAACCACCAGTGCTCTCCACAAGACTGTAAACCCATGGTTGCATGGGGAGTAATAAACATCAGAGACAGAACACCAAATTTTACTGACAGCACCCGGTCAACAATTTACGGTTAGAGACGAGTAGTCAATTTACCTCACCGCCTTCCGAAAATTAGCAGTACAGGTAACGAAACAAATTGGTTTTCCTAGCCTGGCTCTACAATCAGTAGTGACTCTTAATCGCGAGAAAATGTTTGATAATTAGTTTATGTGTAAAATCATAATGAAAAGCAAGCACATCTTTCAAATCATAAAATCATGGTCATCGGACAATAAGAACGAAAGTGAAATCACGCAAGAGCTTGTTATTGAACCTGATCCTTACCGTATGGGTATGCGCGATAGTCATTAAGACTTTTTCCAGGATACTGCTCCTCATGAACATAGGTACACGTGCTGCAAATCTTGTATTCATATTGACTCAGCCCGTCTTTATCAGGACGAGATGGGTCAATATGACAAAGAAACAATTCTCGTTCTTGAGAAAAGAATTCCCTATTCTTGTGAAAAGAATTTCTGAAACCGAGATTCTTCTCAAGATATTCATACGTAATGCATTCTTACAAGAAGAATTCTCTTCTATTCAATATTATTGCCGCAATTTTTCAAAACTCATTTTCAATCATTATTTTCTCTTACCGTAAGGGCATGCGCGACAGTCAGTCGCGGATTTTCCAGGGTAGTTAATCTCAGGAACATAAGTGCCAATGGAGCAGTTCTTACAGTCAATTTGGCCCATTTCGTCTTGGTAAAAGCCTCCTGAAAATAAAACATTTGGGAGCGATACTCTATCCATTGAGGTCAGACACTCATTTTATGGTTTTTAGCTAAACGTAAATGTCTCCAAAAACAAATTGCAACATATAAAGCATCTTATTTACCTGCAGGGCACCTCAAGCAATTTGTATTCGCTCTATCACGGCTGCTGTAGGTGCCCGTCGAGCAAAGGCTACAATTAAGGCATCTGGAATCGCCCCCCTTACTGCATTTAGAACACATAAAGCCGGAGTCTAGAAGACCATCCAGTTGATAGCGGCGTTCCCGGGAATCGACGACTACAAACAAAGATTCTGTTGGAGCACATACACTGATGAAAGAAAATAAAAACCAGAAACTTGTTAATAAAACCAAAAGGGTGAAAAGCCGGCGCAACAATTCACTGTAATTCAAGGTTAAAGAGTTCCACAAAGCTTATATGTAAGGAAAATTAAATGGCCTGGATTCAGACTCACACCAAACCAGACCAAAAGATACTGACTATGACAAATCATTGATGAAAGCTCAAACATGATACATCATAGCACAAGACAGCACAGCACATCACAGCCGGAATTTACTGCATCTGATAAAGTAGACCAAACCGAAGATAATATACTTGAGCACCCTATATGTAAATGACCTCGAGGCAGCAAAAAATGACTGATCTGTAATGTTTTTAAACTTTGGTTAAATACTGCAAATTCACAGTAACGATGACTAACTTCTTTTCTTTGTTGATATACATTATTAAGTCAAGGTCAATTAATCGTTATTTTCAATCTGAGTTTTACAGCAAAACCCGAGCGATCCTGAATTACAACCAAAACTGCTCTATATGACCTTTTACTTACACTCTTGCCTCGTTTATCCCTCGAGGAAGCTCCTCAAGGGTTTTGCAGGAGAGAGCCCTAAAAAGAAGTTCAAACCTTTTAACTTTACGATGAGGTTTGAGGTATTCTTAAGTAAATTGACAATTACTAGGTTCAAATGAGGTGGCTCATTTGGTCAGAACCGTGCACGAAGATCAGGATCAGTCAAGAACAAAATTATTGAGCAGTTTGTTGTTTATCACTACATGGTTAAACATCTTCAAGCTAGTTGGCATCACCAGAGGTTTCAGTGATCTTAAAAAAAACAAGGTGTCTCTCTCGGAAGGTATAACCAACTTGAATTACAAATTGTCAAATATCTCAAATAACAATCTTTATCCAAGCAACCGCAATGAGGAACAGTGGGTATGTAATGGTATTAATGACTCAAAGTTCATACTTATTGAATGCAAAAGGGCCTTGAAGAAATGTATCATAGTAAGTAGATTAAGAACTATCTATACTTACAAAGTAACATTTTCAGTCAGTCCATTGAATACATTTCTTGGAAGTGACGTTAAGGCGGGATTTTCAAATAGCGTCCTAAAATTCAAGAAGTTAATTTGTTTATTTATAAGCTTAAGAATGAATTGCTTTAAAATGGCAGTTTCCCTCACGCAGAATACATTTGTTGCTATCCCGTACAAAGAAAAGCGAAGGGGAAACTTGACATAAAACCATCAAGATCGTGATAATGATTTAGACAAACAAACTACAAATTGATGGACATTCAACATTTTTAAAATGCTTAATACTGTAGAACTATGTACGAAACTGAAAGAAAAGCATATCAGTTTACTTCTATTCAATACAACTTACACCAAACGCAGATCAGTGAGGCCGCGAAAAGCATTCGCATCAATGTTTTTGATTCGGTTTCCGTGTAAAAACCTACAGATAACAATAAACAGAGAATCAAACTATCTTGTGAGATTTCAAGGAAAGGAAAGATATTAGAACATATCATCTTTATGTAAAGGTAATCTACATATATTAATGATCTCCATGTAACACCTTAGAATTTGCAAATAATTTATAGATTTCAAGTTACTTACAAAGACTTCAAAGACATTTCAGCAAAAGCCTTTTCAGGAAGAGAAACCAGACTGTTGTTGACAAGCATCCTTAAAAATAAACAAGACGGACGCTTCAAGCTTTCTGTTAAACCACTCTCACACACAGCTCTCTCTCGGAGATTAGGAGTAAGGGCTCCAGTAATGTTCTGTATTAATTAGTTCTTCCGCGCTATTTTAGAGTAAACGTTTCTTTTTGCTGTGTGTGTATGTTTTGTTAGGTACAGTAATTTAAAATTGATTTCTAAACGTTTCATATAATACACTAAAAATTCAAATTTCTTCGTGTTTACTTAAAGAGAAAAGATTACTTACAGCAACGTCAGTTTTTTTAGCCCAGCAAAGGTAAGGCTGCTAATTTTTGAGATGTTGTTGAAGTGCAGAAACCTAATTAAAGGAAAATGACATTGATGTTCAGAATAAACCTTTTTTATTTTGTGCTCTAACTGTTTCAAAACAAAAAACAAAGAAGAAGAAAAGGCAGATTTGATCTCAATATACTGAAAGAGTTTTCAAATAATATTTCTCTAATTAGCATGTTACCTCGTAATTTTTGATGACAGCAGGTTGCATGGAGTAAGACGTTTTTCGTCTCGTCACGAGCCTGGGACAAAGAAAAATTCTGAGTCCCCATGAGGAATCGAATCTCATGGGGACCCAGAATTTTTTCTTTGTCCCAGTCTCATGACAACTGAAGACGTAAAACATCTTTCTCTACTTCTTTACCGAGCTCAAAACTTACCATCTCTCTTATTCTATTTACAAACAGATTACGTGTTTGAAAATAAATTTTCTCTTACAATACTTTCAATTGCTTGAGGCCAGAAAACGCACCATCTGGTATGGACGAGAGCTTATTGTTGAAGGACAAATCTCTGTATAAGTAAGTATAAGACATATTAGGCAATCAATCGTAAACGAAGCCGTAGATGAGTTTTAAATCAGTGAGTCTCAGTATCCAATCAAACACAACTTACAAAGCGTACAGTACATTCAAATTCTGGAACACCTCGGCTAGTAGCTGCTCGATCTGATTTTTCCTTAGAGACCTAAAGAGATAATGCGCATATAGGTAAATGTGAATGCACTCAAGCCTTCCCAACCTGCCATACGTACTGACAAAAAAAGGCTATTGAGGAATTCGAATCACCCCTAAAAATAGGAATCAATTTGCAAGGGGAATTCTCTTTTTAAAATGCATATTGCTTACATTTCCCTCACATCGATGATTCTTGACGTTGCAAGGCTTGATATGTTGCTTATTCGATTATTTCCCAAGTGTCTGGAAATAGTTAAAAGAAGTGAGATTACCAGAATTTTTTTTAACATTAATAAACAAATGAATGAATTCAAAACGTTCAGTTTCATTAATAAAAAATCCCAAATGTAGCTCACTCAATTAGAACTGCATGGTACGACACTAATAACGTTATCACCAAAACGTTTGTTTTGTGATTGGACAGAGGAATCGAGAGAAGGAACTCTCCAAGATTGCTCTAGTTTTTAATTCGTTGAAAACTTTGCATGTAATAGAAAATTTGCGAACCAAAGTATGTGTTAACCCTTACTCCCAGAAGTGATTAAAACTTCTCCGTACGTTATCCAACAAACAGGTAATAAGAATACACAAATTAATCAGGCAGAAGATGTTATCTCGTTTTAACACCATATTCTCATAACTAATTAACAAGGCAATGTGTAGTAGCAAGAGGGGAGAATTAGCAATCAGATCTTGGAAATTAAAGGTTAAATCATGCGTTATGATGGATATTTAAACTTGTGGTTTCTGTCGTGTTTCCTTCTCTTGAATGAACTCATGCTGACTAAATTCTTTTACAACTTAGATAAGAAAAAAAATTGATAGGAAACATTTTCCTGACAGAACATCATTTTTTACATTTTGTGGCTTTTTATCACCTGCAAAAGATATGTATTGCTCCACGGAATCGTGTGAGCCAATTTCCGCTTAATTCTCAGGATACAGTGTATATCGTATGTGTCCAAAATGCGAACAAATAGTCTGTAGGAGTTTGAAGCGTTAAAGGTTAAATCCTCCTGAAGAAATCGAAATTGGCAAGGAAATTGAAAAGAAATTATTTTACGATTGGCTTTGAATAGTTGATGGAAAACCAAAAAGTAAAATTGCAGTTTACATTAAGCAAATTTAGTTATAATTTTGGCGTAAAAAATGACTCAATGTTTACAAGATTACATTTCAAACCTTTTGAAAGATTTTCGATAAAGTGAAGCAAGATAAAACGAGAAGTAACCCACTATTTGAGAAACTTACAGAACCTCCACCTTCTTAAGGCCAGTCAAGTCGGGTACAGATGTTAACTTGTTGCCATCTAATCGCCTGGAGTATTCAAAAATAAGAGTCAAAAGTCGTTAACTGACACTGATTACCTTAGTATAGTCATGCACATCTAGCGAAGGCCTCTGCAAGTGGACGCGTTTTGTGCCACGGGGCACGAAATAGAAAGGTAACAGGGAACATGTACACGTAATTGTTACAACAAAAAAGCTGAAAAGCTGGATAGGAATCGGCACGGTTTAATGAAATTATTAAGGAACCAGGAGGTTAGTGCAGCAGGCACATATTTCCAATATATCATGAGGAACGAGGTACATATTCGTGTGATAGTTTTCGTTCATGAGGGATTGTTTTTTGTTAAGAAGGATAAAAACAAGAGCAATTCTTAAAGTAAGAAAACATGCCAACTTCTACTTACGACATAAAAACAGGGACTTACAAGTCAATGAGTTCACTTAAAGAGTTGAATGCTCCATCAGCAATTTTTGTCAAATTTGCCGATCGAATATTTCTGCAGTAAAGAATAATAAACTATCATAAAAGAGGTTATTGCTCATCGTGGTGGTTAGTAATAATAAACTGTTTAATCGTTTGTATCACGATGTAGTCACTTGAGGTGTAGATGGTGATCTGCATCTCAAGTGACTACATCGTGATACAAATGATTAAACAGTTCATTAAGAATAAACTAATAAGAAAATTATATCTTGATCGTCTGGAACACGAAGACGGAGTCGAAAGCAACTCAAGCATTACTTACATACAAAGTTCTTGATTTTTATTGAGAGGAACTGTTTAGGGGTGGATTAACAAGTTTTCAGCCTTTTCGAGGCTCTCGCTTAGTGAAAGGTCTCAATGGGGTTAACTGTTTGCAGTAAAAAGGCCAAAAATTTAGCTGTTGGGCGAAAAAATGACAAATTTTGACCGTTATTCGTCGAAAAAGTTAAAAACCTTAAAAAAACTCTCTGGCGACCATAATGGAAACATACTAACCGTTAGTCGTAAATTGGCCAAAATTTTAACTGTTAGCCGTAAAAGCCATAACCCCATCGAGACCCTCTTAGTGGAGAAACCGCGTGCAATTAAAAGCCAGCTATGTGGTAATAGAAAAACGATGGTTGTTAGAGAAACAGCTTGGCGCCCTTCCTTTTCGCTCGACCGTGACCCTGGCATATGCAACACTTTACACTGTTATTTAACTTAAAGCTTGCCGAAACCTTTGTTAAAGGTAGACCCTGGACTTATTCTCGCCCAACAAGTGAGAACAAAAAACCTGTTCAGCTTACAGCTTTACTATCTTCTTCATTGCCTGGAAAGCTCCACTTTCGATGCGCTTTAAACCGCTTTCTGACAATTCCCTGGTTAAGAAATAAAGAATCTCATTTAGCTTTGCATGGCACAATCCGTTCCGCAAGATATCTGTGGCCAGTCCTTATGTATTGCATGCCTAATAAATAAATTTACCCATATGATAAGTGATCATCCATTTCTATTCCAAAAAGCCCTCGTTTTGCTGAAATGCTGTAATGTTTAAGTTGCGTAGAGCTTGAGAGAGTATCATTCATGAAGGTTAATTTTGAAATAAATGACAAGAAGAACTCGTCATTAGTCACTAACAAAGCTGCTTATTAAAAGTTGTCATATATTCGAATTACAAAAATTTAAGTTTCTTTAGAAACAGGCCTACAACAAGTCGAAAAGCTACCTACGCCCCTGATTTTCCATGATGACGTCGTCGACGAAAGCGTAAATGACGTTAAATCAGAAAGGAGTTTAAAAATTTGACGGGATCATCATTATTGTGTGAAATGTTCAGCTGTCAGGATTTTCTGATTGAATAACAAAGGTTTTAAAGAATAAAAACTGTAGCAGTACTACTTGGGGCAAAGTGGAAACCTTGAAAAGGTGCCATAATTATTGAGATAAATCTTACATGAATCTTATTAATATGTTACAAACAATTACGGTTCTTACAAATACACGATCCTGTCAAAGCCAGCGAAAATGTCTGCAGTTAAGTTAGGTCCAAGGGGATTTCCTGAAATGTTTCTGCGAGGATTTAATAATATGTAAACAATAGCAAATAGCCTAAAAACAAGTCTTTGGTCTTGTTTAAATATTGGACTCAAGAAAAGCTAGATGATATTAATCATATTAACGTCTGAACTACCTGCCTTGCAAAGATTAGTGACCAGAGAGAAGAGCTATCAGTCGTAAGCCTGGTTCTCATTAGGCGACGCAAGCGCAAGTGCAAACTTAAAAGCTCGTATGATGGCTTTGATGAAAGTAAAAGTGCAAAGCACAAGACAAAGGAAAAAATCTGATCTCTTGCGTCCACTTGTATTTATGCTAGCGTCGAGGTAATTTTCAAGGTGAAAAAAGGGCTGTTATGCTTGCGTAACGTTTGTCCTTGCACTTGAGATTATGTTATAGGAAATCCAGCCTTTATAGAGGAGAGTACTGAGTGATAACTTTGAAGTAGCCCCTTAGTAAATCGTCAGGTTTCTCCAACGCCTATCCGATATCCCTACATACTTTTAATTAATCGAGTGCTTGCACTCGGACCTGGACTCCATAACAAAAGCTAACGCAGTGAAAAGTAAGACTCATCCCATGCTTCATAAAATGAGTATATTTTCCATAAAAGATGCACACACTTACAGGAAAGTGATATCCTTAGAATTTTGCAAAATCTCTTTCATGTCGTCCAATGTTAGGTCGTTGTATTGCATCTTTCTGTAAAACAAATAAATGGATGAAGGTTTATTTTCATAGAAGGGTTCGGAAATGTCTTTGCGAGGTCGACAGAAGTAGCTTTTGCTTTACATCTTGATCAATTTAACGACAACGAGAGAAAACACACATGCATCGATTTTGACATAAATTGATCATGTCAACGCATTCTCGTGAGCCATCAGACTCAGAATGTTGTCTAATGCATGGTATAGGCTTGACTCTTAATTTGAATTTTCAAGCTGGCTTGAAAAATATTATGTGTTTCTTTTAGAATAAAGAGAAAAATTAAGCAAATTTGATGCAAAGCAAATCTTGTATAAAATCCTTCATCATGGTTTATTTTCGAGTTAAATAAAGGTGACGTATGCTGATACGTTTATCCTCGCTGTTACAACTTTCCCCGACTGAGATTCGAAAGCTGAGAGTGACCTAAAAATTCGCAAATTTTCTTCCTCTTTGGATTCCTGATCACCATTTTGAAAAGAGTCTGAAAAACAACTCAGGAAATTGGCCATACACGAAGATCCTCAACAAGCCATTGCGCTTTTTACATCAGTAAATGACCAGGTTTGCTGGAAATGATTCAATATAACGGTGAACATAATCCAGTTTTTGGCGCATTTTAAGACAATTTCTGAGAGGATAGGTTACTCAAAACGCGGTATTCATGAGTCATTATGTCATATGTATTTTTGATTGGTGTAGATGAAATTTGTATGGATTGTTGAGCATACTTCTGATTTGTAGTCTAGAATAAAAAAATCTTTGAAAAACTAGAACTTACAATTTTACTACGCTTTTAGGAAGGAAAAATCCACCTTTGATGTTGTTCTGGTAGATATTTCTAAGATCAAACGAAAAATAACAAGAATAAGCATTATATTAGAGAATCTATTCCAAATATGAATGAACAGGAAGTGTTATTTGAACCCAAGGCGCCTCGTTAAGGTTATCAAAAGTGACTAGCGTTAGGTCAGAATGAAATTAAGGGGTTTTTTTGAGGGCGGGAAAATGTATAATTGGATGCTGATTCTTCTTCAGTAGCATAGGAACAAAATCTTGCCGCTTAAAATTTTATCTCTTGAGCCAGGTTTTTTTCTGAAAAATTCCAATACCCCTTAATGAAAAGTCATGCAAGTACTCACACGATTGACAAATCCGTCAGATTTCGGAAAGTGTTCTTCGGAATTGCCCTTAACTTGTTTTGCGATAGATCTCTGAGAGGATAAGAAAAAGAATGACAATCAACAAGATCAAAAACAAATTAATGCAGCTAACTGCTTGAACCTCCTGTAATGGGCTTACATGCTTGTGAAGGAGATCTATAATAATGATAACAATAATAATAATAATGATAAGTGTCTGAAAATATTCGTAATGCGTGAAAGTCTCAAGCATGATTAGACACACAGCAAGTGTCTAAGCGACAATCCAGTTGAAGCACAAAAGAAGACAAGTGAACTTATGCTAAGACCCCAAGAGCATTGAATAATAAAATTGCTGAACCAGTTGAAAGGAATAAAACAAATGACATGGAATAAACGGTGCTGATCTACATAAATGTAATGCACCCAGCCTAAACCCGGATCGCTCGCAAGCAAATAGGAGTGGGTCTGACGGCTATGATAAAAATAACAACGTGAACATCAACTCACATTTTTGCAAGCAATTTCAGATTTGAGAAGGCGTCCTCCGGTATAGATTTCAAACGATTGTTTGAAAGATCCCTAGACAACGAAATTTTTTAAAGAATGTAACTTCGGTAGAGAATCGTGAGGAAATAATTATTTACACGAGTATCTGATTGTAAGTATTGGTCACAGGAATAAAAATACTACATGGGGAAGTACTGGGTAAGATTTAATGCGTCAGTGCCGCAAAATTGTTGATTATGATACGATGCTTACGATGCTGGAATAGCTTAGACCAGGCCCTTGCTAGGAAGAGAAGAACAATCAGGCAAGAAAAAAACCACATCTGTAAAAGGAAGTCAGTTATATCCATTCAACACATTCTCTCTCCCCTCCCCTCCCCCCCTCCTTCTTTCTCTCCTTCCATTTTTTCCTTATTATCATCTTAAATTGATCGAAAACTCAGCAAAGGCTATATCTGGACTATCTGAGAAAGAATAACAGCTGGTGATATTTGTTATTCACAATCAAATCCCTTAGCTTTATGAAATCATTTGGTTAACCTCTGAAGTCATGTGATCACTTGGATATTAACAGAACTGTGTCATTATTAGCAAGTCTTCTGGGCATCCCCTGCCCATATATTTCTAAATCAGTGTGACGTCGCTTTTCTGAGATCTTCAACATGCGTAAACTGAACTAAAGAATAATGTAGTATTATCAACTGAGTTGATAACGTAAATTGGCCACCGTGAAGAGGTTGAAAGCTGACGTTTCGAGCGTTAGCCCTTCGTCAGAGCGATGACAAAGGACTCACTCTCGAAACGTCAGCTTTTAAACTCTTCACGGTGGCCAATTTACGTTATCAACTCAGTTGATAATACTAAATTACCCTGGTATACTCTCCCACCGACGCAGCATCACAGTTTCTTTATTCATTTGAACTACAGAATGTTCTCCAAAAAGCGACGTAAAGAAGGCTTCTTTGCATTGAAGAAGAGTAATCATGCAGGACCGCCATTTTAAAGTAGGTCTATAAATCACTTTCACAGTAAGAGAATAACGTTGTACTTACAGAGACACCGTATATTCAGGCAAGTTACTGGGTACTTGTGTTATACCAGTGCACTTGACAGCAACTCGTACTCGACCAAAGGGATAGCAGGTACAATTCCCTGGGTGAACATCCTTCAAACAACTGAATCCTGAGGCTACGCACGGCGACAAAATTGCCATCAGCGTAAGACGTGTCCATAATTGAACTGAAGACTCCTTGTACATCTGCAGAATGACGTTGACGTCATGTTTAATTTCTTTACTAAAAAATTGTAAATCATCTGTTCATTCTGATGTTCCAAATTGGCGAAATGATTGAGCTCTGTAAATCATCAGCAGGTTCTAATTCTCCAGCAATAAAAGACGGAGAGAAATGCCTCGTGTTTGAAAATAACACTTCCAACAATGTGCTTTTGGAGCTAAAGTAGGCTAAGTTACTTTACGTTGCAGTTTATCAGTACCTTCCGCGAAAATAAGTTGTGCCGCTTGGTAAACAATAACGTTTTGCTTAACCTACTTTTGTACCACTTTAGTTAACGAGGATACTTACGACATTAAAAGCATATAAAGCAAACTTGATTACTACGTAGATTAATGTCAATAATGCCTCAGCTACGAAAATAATTGAACTTACATCGGAGGTCGGCCCGCCGAACGACAACTGCGCCGCCTTTGTCGGTCGCTTTAATGACTATGTTTTTGCGTTTTTTTGGACTTTTTAGTGCCGACCACTCTTCCGAAGAAAGATTGGAAAATTTGGTGTTACGACTGAATTTAAGTTTGTTGATATAGTGACGACTTTTTTGATGAAAAAATCTAAAGATGCGTACTAGCCCTCTAGGGAAGTGCATTAAGACTTTCGAACCTGAAATGTTTCGAAAGTATCTTCGTTCGAGATGTTAGAATTATCCTCTTTTTCATGAAAAAAGGCTTTCAATTGAACGCGGCGAAGGAATTTTTTAACGTCTTGCTTAGCTGAAAATTCGTCGGTTTTTTCGGATATGGGAACAAAATTTAAGCCCTTACTGAGAACTGATTTTTATGAATCAGAAAGTGGTAAATTTTCTGGTATGGTAACTGCAGTTTTGACGTTTTCAGGCCACGAGTCGCTTGCAATTTTATGGCCGATAGGTTGTCAAGTTTTTGGGCCTTAATTGGTGCAAATGGTTAAAAAGTTTAGAATTAGCACCCTGAATTTTGGCACGAATGGATTCTGTACTGAAACAGCTGGAGTTACGCCTTCAGTTAAGACAGCTAAGAAAGAAAAGACAAAAAGAACAAAAGCATCAGCTTCAGGGGTTTTTTCCCCTAATTGACTCTATGAAAAAGTCAATAGATTGGAAAATTTGGTGTTACGATTGAATTTAAGTTTGTTGATATCGTGGCGACTTTTTTTGATGAAAAAATCTAAAGATGCGAACTGGCCCTCTGGGGGAGTCCATTTAGACTTTCGAACCTGAAGTGTTTCGAAAGTATCTTCGTTCGAGATGTTAGAATCATCCTCTTTGTCATGAAAAAAGGCTTTCAATTGAACGCGGGAACAAAATTTAAGCCCTTACTGAGAACTGATTTTTCTGAATCGGAAAGTAGTAAATTTTTTGGTATGGTAACTGCAGTTTTGAGGTTTTCAGGCCACGAGTCGTTTGTAATTTTAGACAAAAAGAACAAAAGCATCAGCTTCAGGGTTTTTTTCCCCTAATTAATTCTATGAAAAAGTCCCGTGGGCTACATTGTACTGCATACTTTGCAACCTAGAACATAACGAAAACATAGCACGGTTTTTTCCTCATGATATTAGGAAAAAACCCTGGGTGATTTCATTTGTAACATAATATATATCCTCCAATTTCGAATAATCAACAACTGTTCCTTCCTCGCATCTCGAGCGAGTTGTTACTCAGTGGGTGAACGTGTTGTTTTCGCGTTTTCTGTAATTAATTAGTGTGCACGTAAGTTCGTTTTGGATGATCAGCTTTGCATTAATCGCTCAGGGCAATCTCTTCTATCCTTGATACCCTGCGACTTTATCGTTCTAGTATTTTTTATTTCATTTGTAACATAATATATATCCTCCAATTTCTAATAATCAACAACTGTTCCTTCCTCGCATCTCGAGCGAGTTGTTACTCAGTGGGTGAGTGTGTTGTTTTCGCGTTTTCTGTAATTAATTAGTGTGCATGTAAGTTCGTTTTGGATGGTCAGCGTTACATTAATCGCACAGGGCAATCTCTTCTATCCTTGATACCCTGCGACTTTATCGTTCTAGTATTTTTCGACAGTAAGCAATCTGGAAAACGGGACTTAGCTATTGGTTAGGACGCTGGACTTGTAAATATGGTCCTCCTGGCTCTGGATTTGTTCTCGGTCGCTTCGAGTTTAACACCAGCTGGTCTGCCTCTTGCCAGTTGGGATTTTCTAGCACTTTACCTTTATTTGAGACATAAATTGTTCATCATTTATTTACAGAGACATGCTTTCCTGGATCTTCTGAAGCAAAACTTTACACTTCAACTTAGAAGCGTAACGGTCTGCTAAACAAACATTTGCCGCATAAAGCGTGATTGATTGGCTGATTCCTTTACATCTCAACATGTAAACCGGTTCTAATTGCTTCCTCTTAACAGTGCATGTCATCAGTGACTGCCTGTCGCAATGAAACTGCATGTACTTCAAGAGCCGAAAGATAACATTTTTATAACAGTCAAATAACAGCCATTCTTTCATAACGTTAACTTAATATCAATTTAATGACAATCACCACATGTCCATTATTTTTGGTAAAAATTCACCGTTCTTTGATTAATGCCCCATGTACGTTCTTTTAAATAAAAATCTTCAATACCTGTAACGAGTACAACCTAAGACTTTCAAGCACAAATATGAGTTTTTTTTAATCAAAGGCGCCTGCATTAAAGAAGTAATTGCTGAGACCACTTCGTTAGTTTTCACCCCTTATCTCCTTTGAAGCCGTCATATGGTGTTGCGCAGCGCTCCCTCGTGAGAGTTCTCTTCGGCGAGCATTGCATGACACCCGAGAGGTGAGCATATTTTCAAGTCTTCATGATGTATTCAAACTCTTGATCCTCTTACTCAACAGAGTCTGTGAATAATGGCCACAAACGTTTATTATCAAGCTGTGATCTTCCTCTTTTGCTGCGTGATGCTGTCCGCTGC